CCTGGCGGAGGTAATGATTGCATAACCTTCTGGCGGAGGTAATGAGCCCAACTAACCGCCTAAGTGAGATCAGCATCTCCTTATTTTAATTGATATAAAAATTAAGGCTTGTTTATATATATCTAACAGACTGGTTTGGAGAGTTTGCGCTTGATGCGATCTTTGCCAAGTGGGATGAAATTTTTCTTCCTTATGGAGCTATCATTTCTATATTAGACAGATTTAGAAAAGACGACACCACCTCAAAGACGACGTGAAAATGACGTATGCACCTCGCGTTCACTTCCGGGTTTTAATCTGGGACGGCTTGTTTGTCTTTTTCGAACCAAATTTTTGTTTTGTTTTTACCTGCTCATTCCTGTATTGTTTTCAATCAGTTGTCAAGTTATGTGCAAGACAAAGCGAATATATAATACTGGCCAAGTGTTTCCTGATGAATTAGTATGAACGTTCAATACGTTTTTTTTTAGAAAAAGACGTATATTTCGGTATTTTGAAAAGTGAACTTTGTTGCATCATTTGGAATAAATACAATAGCTGCAGGTATTGTTTACGAGCTAAATGCTTTATTTTGTAGCCTATTCAATCACGTTTGTCAACTGTCCAGTATAAATATGGCATCAGTGATTATATTGATAAATTTAATACTGTTTACGATAGTTTTACACGCTGGAAAGCGTTTTTTCACTTCTCCTACATTTTCGCACTGTTGTGACAGCTAGAGCAACTAAAATTGATTGACTTTTTACTGCATTTACTGAAGTGGTTTTATTCTTCTATCTTCCCAAGTTTTCCAGATATTAAACAGTTGTTAGTATAACTTCAGTTCAGTTTGTTCCAAAATGTTTGTTTTGGTGAAGAATACTAGCGGTATTGAACTGAGTGGTTATTAACAATGCTTGCAGTTTTGTTGATTTGTTATGGCGACCGAAAGTATTTGTCAAAAATTAACACGTTCAAAATTTAGCGAACAGTACAAGAAAACAACTTTGTCAATGAAAAACCTTTAACTAGAATCATTAAACAATACATGGGGAACAAAATAGGATGATTTTTATCATGCATACTCTCAAATATTTTTTTCAAACGAAGCATAAATCTGTGATGTTTTAGAGAGGACGTGAAAATTGTATTTTCGCGTCGTGAAATCGTCCAAGACGACGTGGCAAACCAGAAGCTGACGATAGTTGGCGCCAACTGATGACATCTACGCCGTCTTTGAGGTCGCGTCGTCTTTTCTAAATCTGTCTATTATTGAATGAGCGACGCATGCAATAAATATAAACATTAATAAGCCTTAGCACACTCCTTAAAATTCGTTTGTTCAACTGCAACAAGAGATATTGCAAGGCACCATGTCTTTGAAAGATTCGTCACACCGACTTGAATATTATTAGGTGGGATAAAAAAGTCATCGGGCATTCACTTAAAAATAGTCATCAGATACACGAGTAATCTTTTTAGCCGAATCGCCTCATATGAGCAGGCCATATATAGGTAACCAGATATTATTACTCTCATAAAGTACTATTATCTTGTCCCGTACGTAACAAGATTTTTCTTGTCAAGATTGCCGCAAACAAGAAAGATAATGTTGATTTAAGAAATTTAAAGTTTTAGTAAAATGTTAGCAAGATTCATTAAAATCTCTGCAAGATTTATTAAAATCTTAGCAAGATTTTTCTATTAGTGCTGTGTTCCAAGGAAGAGTATATTCCCTTGAATTATAAAATAATATATCTTATCAAAATAGAAAAAAATAATTATAAAATCTTACTAAGATTTGTTTCCTATTTGAGTATGAATATTATTCTAACTTGAATTAAGAATTACAACAGCGCATATCATATAACATATCATTCTTATAACTATAGCAATGTTTAATACTACAAAATCGAACAAATCAAGCTACATTTAAAAGCTATATGACATGCATATATTGCACAGTTTCATATGCACGATTTAGAGTACGCTACCTGAAGTTCTCTGCATGAGCTCCACCTTTCAATTTACTAATGATTAAATTCTTAAACACGTCCGACTTTATCGTTATGATAAATTCGCGGCCCATTTTGAATTTATCATAATGACAAATTCGCGGCATCTAACCCCTAACACTAACCCCAACCCTAACCACTAATCACTAACCCCTAATCCTAACCCTAATCTAACTTTTTAACCTTTTTAAAAATCTAACTTTTTAAACTTTTCTTTTTAATTAAAACTTTTTTAAACCTTTTTTTTGAAAATCTTGAAAATGTACGTCTGCATTCTTAAGACAAGGAAACTTAATTTTTCTTGTTTCCATATAAGACTTTTTTTCTTACACCATGCAGGAACAATTATCTTCAAGCAATAATATTAAATGACTGACGATTATATAGCTACATACTTTTTCTTAATTAAAAAAATTTCAATCTTACAAAATCCTTGCGCCAGGAAAAATAATCTTAATTTGAGAAGAAAAAAATTTTTCTAGCCGAGAATATAAACTTCTACAAACAAGAAAACTATCTATAATTTAAACAAGAACCATGATCCTAAACAAAGAAATAATATCCTAATTTAAGAACAAAATATTTCCCTATAGTTCTCCATTTTTTGTAGTGTAAAGTATATTGTGTCATAACGTGATTTTTACCTGAGTTAAATGTATGGCAGAGCCCCATACTTTGTGAGGTTGACCTGAAATCTTTTCCACTGCAAGACTTTCCTCTCCACTTACAGCTAACAAACATTCCATCTTCATCCATACGATGGCCATACTTTTGATATATTTTGTCAATATCCACACCACGGCTCTTTGTAAGGTTACGAATACCATTATCATTCGTCTCTTCGCCTTCGCTCTGCCCACGCACACTTGAGGTTCGGCTATTCGCGTAGTTATGTACTGCTTGTAGCTTGCTTTTTTTTACTGGGTTGTAATTACATACCGTTATAGCTGGAAACAACATCATCTGTTTTGTGATAATTTCATTCTTTGTCATTGTCGGGAAGTTCAAGAAATTAGTAAAAAGTCTAATACCGTTAAAAGTGAAGTAGGCAAAAGAACATAAAATCAAACCGAGCCAGATGAGTTGCCTTATAAAACTTCCACCGAGGATGAAATAGCGAAAACCATGAAACGTCGTTCGTTCTCCGTAATCTGAAATAATTGTTCGCACGCTCATTTGTTTTCCCTTTCCATTATTTTCCTTATCGTTCTCGGGTAGTGAATGAACTTTATTGCATTCATCCATACTCAATGAAACATTGGCTCAAATATCAGGACTTTTCTCATAACATCAACTTCATTGTTTGTCATTTGTAATTAAATGCTGCACTTAATTTTAGCATAGTATATTTAAAATTAATTGCGAGCGGATGTTTTAAAATATTTTTCATTAATTAATATGAATATTATTCCATGCGCACCCCGTTCTCACTGAATACATACTGTACTATATATATATATATACAAATATCTCATAATATGATAGACTTCTTCTAATTTTCTCAATAATTATTTTTAGTACCTTTTTTCTTAAGTTTTATTGCGGATCATTTTTGTAATAATCAAAGTCATCGACACCAGCTGCTTGTTACTCAATGCATGTGCATGACATAAAATATTTAGATTCATAAATATGGACTTTTGCAATTAATTCTTGTGCCTTAGTTTTTATATAATTACCTGTGGATGGATAGGTTAATACTTTTCATAAGAGAGCATATGCCGTAGACATTTTTCGTGTGTTAATTCAATAGCGTATCGTTTGCCCTTTGTTATAGCATTGAGGTTACAAGACTCGTTGCGCGCGTTATTCACACAAAACAAAATTTCGGCTTGTGTTTTCAACCAATTAATTCGCTTTTAAATATTGACCTGCTAAAGTAAAATCAGTTAGTTAGAATCATTTAGAATTAGTTAGTGTAGATAGTATTACACCATTTATGATGTTTCGTTTATTTTGCGGACGGGAAGAATCTGAAACACGCTTTCAGTGCATGGCGTAACTGGAAGGTATTTGGGTGTCCAGAGGCGTAGGGCCTCCACGCCTGTGGGCCCCCCGAAAAAAAATGACCATAAAATTTTTGCTAGTACATTGGGCAAATTGGCCCGAGCTTCAGGTATAGAGGGTCAGAAAATTTGCAACGCGTGGCCTCCAAAACCAGGAATTGGTGAAATTTAATTTGGACCCCTTTTTTGGTAGACATATGGATATAGGGAAAAATTTGTATGACTTTTTAAAACGTTATTTTTAAGGAATATGGTTTGAAAATTTTTTTTTTAAAAATAGGGCCCCACTTAAAAATTGACGGGAGGGGCCTCAGGAGGTTCCGTTACGCCACTGCACGTATTTACTTCACGCGAAAAGCGATTTTGTTGAACAAATTCCACCAAAGTGGAGTCCACTTTGTTAGTGAGCAGTTTGGAAAGTCAAATGATGCCCCTATACAAACGTATGTGCGATAGTTATAGGTTTTTTGTTTTTTCTTTTCGTAATATTTTATTTATTTCTAAACCTTAGTTCAGAAAACATTTTCTTACAAGAAACTATTTGACCAGGTTTAAGAAATTTCTGTAGAGCCAGAGTTTTAGAAAAAAATATAAACAGGGTTTTCGAAATAAATTTTTTTTGCTCTACAGAATGTCTTTATGATGATTTTATTGATGATGATGATGATGATTTTATTGATCCATATTTAGTTTAAAAATACAATGGATTTACAAATATGTCTATTAAAAGAGAAGAGCATAACTAAGCATGCAATAATATTTACAAACTATCTAAAATTTATATATATACAATTTGGAGTAAAAAATTTAAAAGTCTAG